TGACGGAGAGAAATCGTGGTGTTATCGCTTGTGTGGGGGTGTTGTTTTTGCCTTCACTCGCGATCTCCCACAGAGGAAGGCAAGGCCACTCCTTGTGGTTACTCTGCTACAGCCTTGGCACGAGTAGCTTAATTTATGGTGTTTATGCCTTCGGGTGAAAATTTTGCGCGTGCTAAGCCTCCTCCCAAACAGAAAATTCTATAACTTAGGTTAAAACCCCTCCAAAGCATGAACGTGAACCCCGGAACCCAGTTTCCGCCACATCGGGACGGCACCTTCTCATGAAGCTAGGGGCCGGTTGCGAGGATCAGGCTGTATCACAACACACTGAGCTGGGCATTTCCATGCGGATCTAGACAATCAAAGCGCTCGCCTAGGTGCGGCAAACCCAACTCGGGCTGTCCGATGGACATGGTGCGTCACTTTCAACATAGCATCCTAACGAAACCAAAATCCCCCAGGAAACGAAATCCCCGTTGACTTTTCGTTCCTCTAGCGCGGCAGATCGGCCGTCCATGAAGAGATGCGATGAATGCCCAATTCAGTAGACGAAATTTTCACCGAGGCCAAGTTACTGAGAAACCCAACCCCGACCAATGTCCTCACCTTAGATAGGAGTGAAGCTGATAAAACCCTAGCCAGAGATATTGCAAACCAGCTGCACAAAATGCAGAGATCGCGTACCCTCACCGCCTGCTCCCAAATGCCTCAGTGACTGAGCTGACAAAGTCATATATTTAATATCTAGCTAGCGCATTTTGTCACAGTGCACCCGACAATACCTTAGCAAAAATATGGAAAACCTATGACAATGACTCCCTTGAAGTTGCTAGAGACTTATACCACGTGTTGTTATTATACGAAATCGAGAAAAAAGGGGATGGCTACTAGCTGGTCTCCACCAGTATCCACAAAGCCATCAAGAGTGCCCAGGACCCCAGACCAAGCAACCCTCTAGTATCTGTCCCTTCATATACACCGAAGCCTAAGATAACTAGTCAGTAATGCAGCTCAGGAACTACCTACTTTCTCCCATTTTTACCAAATCTAACTTTGTGCATAGAGCCCTTTTTCCTATGTTCACCTTACGGACCGAGTTGCTCCCTCACCTGTGGCTCTCTTACCCCTCTGGTTCAAAGGGGACCTATCCGTCCCCCTAGCTCATTACCATGAGGAAGGGTTTGCTACATTCACCTCTCTTCTCCACTTTTGTCTCCTGTTCTATGGTTGCAGAAACGGTCTTTGTCGAGTTGGATTGTCATATTTGCAGGGGGGGACCAGAAGCCAAGTTAGACACTACTATTCCTATAGGAACTCTCACTTCCAGGCTCCAGTATGTTGGCCTTAAGACAGGAAGATCAGTTTGTGTCTATATTATCCCTCCGATAACTTCACACTTCAAGTCTAAGTCCACAGGAACGTCATTACGTTTTATCATTGGTTTTCAGGAGGGAATTGCAGAAACCAGTGTGCGCGCTGTTCCTCACTCATTACCCAAGGGTGGAGGTATCGGGCGGGCAACAGCCTACGGCCACCAGACTTATCCCCGCTTCTTCAGAGGTTTGCTGTTTGCAGATCTGTGAAGGGGGAGCGATGGGGTATCGACATTTAGGAACAAAAAGGCCAATGACTAAAAAGATGGATGTGGGCGATCAAAGGTAGCGGTGGGGGTGATATTGCCATCTATATTTAGATTTGAGAATACCATTAGGAACTATTGTCTCCGACCCTGGAAACGGTTTTCGTAATTCTATTCACCCTGAAAATATGTTTTCCATTAGGGGAAGCAATTTTGTACTCACTGAAGAGAAAATATCGCCTCATCCCCAGGACCCACATCTGAGTTCACAGCTCAAGGGAGAAAAGTTCGCTTCAGTTTCAGTTACTGGGAGTAATCCTAGTCCCCGCAGGAGTGCATGCCACGGGAGGGGGGAAGAAAAAAAAGTATCAAAAATTGTTAATATGAACCTGAATCTTTGTCTCTGCTACCAAAAGAAGTCGAGTGTAATATCCCGGAGTCAGAGCCACTAGAGTTTGTTATTCCCAGTATAGCCATTTCCTCCCCACCATCACAGTAAAATCCCAGTCTAAAAACAGTGGACGGTATGATCGATTAGCCCTTGCAAACGCCCATCAATGCCAGAGCCCTAAATTGCAATCAAGACCGGAAGGTGAGTGCAGCCAGTATATGAAATTGATTGCAGTGAATGGCAGGAACTTCTGATGGAATTCGCAAACTTACTTCCCGTTTACCCCAGCCCGATAGCTACTTCCGTCGTCCTCTGACTGCCAGACCTGGTCCCTCAGGGGAAGTGGGCTGGGGGCTGGGTTCACCATGTGCAGCGCACAGCAAGGCGCATAACGGGGCGCGGTGCGGTGCAGTGTAATGGCTGGTGGCCTGCATTAAATTCTCCAGGAAATTGCGAGCTGGGCCATTGATGAATAACATGTATCGTGTGGTCAAGTGAAGATCTAGCAAGAGAGAAGGATTTGATACATATAGCCACGTTCCCTTGTCGCCGTCTTTCTCATTTCTAAGCGAAGTACCTTGACCCTCGCTCCGACCATGCTCCCTGAAAAAGCATTGCACAGACCTTCCAAGGTAGAAACAGTGCTCACACCATCGTCCAATGGCTGAGATGTACTGTACTAGGGTGAGTTTGGCCCCGAGTTCGTGTACTGGGTAAGGATGAAAAATCGGGGAAAAAAAAGATAGGCAAGATCCTATAGGGCAGTGAGTAGATAGCAAGTAGAAATAGAAAATAATGAGCTCTGGTAGATACAAAAAAACCCGGGGGAGAAAAAACACAATGTGGATGTCTACCGCCGAGATATGGGAAGCTAGGAGCGGCGGTTGAAAATTGGCCTTGGTATGATACGAACTGGCTATGTGATTCGCCTCGAGCGCCCAGAGGCCCTTTGGATCTCGGAATCACTAACATTCGGGCTTCCGAGAAAGTAGATTTGGCTGCAACTATTGCAGTCTAGGTTTCTAATTTATGCAATGGTGTGCTTCTTTCTACTATAATACCTTAATCTATCGATCAGCATAATCCCTAAATATTCCGATTTTTTCGTTTCTATCCATGGGAACTTGTCCTGTGCCTGAGAGCTGACAGGATCTAAATTTACAGCAGGGCAGAGGTGGGGGTTATTCTAAGCCTCAATGCCTAGAGGCTTCATGCCAAGCCAACCCACCTCGCTCAAAGAACCCGCTACTCATCTAGGGAGAATTCCGTGAAGACCTTGTAACAGTCTTCACAAGAGGATCAGACGGAATTCCTTATCCATACCAATATGGAGTGATATCATGGGCAGTTGGTTCCATCATACCTTCTCCGTATTCAGCTACCGGTACACCGGTGCCAGTACTCCGTAGAAAACCCAGAAACGGCATTTGCCTTGCCGCCTAGGGTGGGGTACATTGCGAGGCTGCCACTAGGAAGGCTGAGTTGGATCATCACGCCGGCGAAACTGACATCCCAGTAGAAGTTACTGCACCTGTGCGTGTTGGATCACTTGCACCAACTGAATAACAAAAGCTTCAACGGGTGAAAAATTCCTGGATTTCTTCCCCTTTGCGGTCGTTCATATGATTTGCTGTAGTAGGAACGAGGCGCCACGTCAACTGGCTGAGCTGCATTGGAGCTGGGAGACGCGGCTCTACTCGAGTAATAAATATTCAAACACCAACCGTCGAATCGGTGTAGGGAAAAATAATCATGCATTTCTAGCGCAGATCTAGCCCCTTTACAAGAGGTTTCGCTCAGAGTATTCTAGACCTAGAAAAGGATGCTGGAAGGTCGGCTACTTGGCAAGCAGTTTGCTTTTGCGGCCAGCACATGACTAGCGTGAGTATACGGAACGAGGCCCGATTGGTGGTGCAGTACATTTGTGAAGACGAACGATGTGCACTGCACGAGGCTGACCCGAAACATGCGGGCATAGCCAGGTGCACAAATACTGTAGGAAACTCGAGGGGCCAAACCCGACTCATACACCAGACATGTCCTGGTTGCCAATTCCTACATGAGAAGCTGGTCGAGCTCTATATACCACACTACCCGGAACCCTCGCAGTGCTTGAACCCTTCGTACCTCATCGCTCACTAACTCATCCCGAACTCCATGCCACAATAAAATGACTCCCACAAGCAAACCCTACATTTACCTCGAAGAGAAGCACGAATAAGGGAGAGGGGAAGAAAGCAGGGCCATAAAGTGGCCCCAACAGCGAAAGGTATACGGAACCACCAACTCAGGTGAGATTAGTGCCAAATAACTTTGCTCAAGAAGCCATTCACTAATTTTGTTGTTTTCGAATTTGAGAACCCTACACACGCGAATTCAAGAACGAGAACTTAAACCGAGAGGCCGAGGGAGCAACACAGTGCCTCAAGGTTGCATTCAACCAGGAGGGTTCTTTACTCGTGGAACCCCGCGGATAGGGTTACTCAGGTGTCATAAGGTATTCCGAGGTCTAGTCGCTTTTAAAGCTACCATTGGTATTCAGCAAGTTCAATCTCTGTCTTGGGTTATGCTAATTGCATCCTAGTTAGTAATCAAGGATCATTGCCTCATCTCACAAGGCGCTTCTCATCCGTCACAATATACATGAACAAGCCGCGTTCAATTACCAGATCCTTGAACACGGTGTCACACTACGTAAAAAGCGGAAGGACTAAGACTTCACACGGCGCCAGGATTTTCGGATTTAAAATGGCTAAGACACCAGGTGAAAGGAATGTGGGAGGTTATAAGAGTGGAACATCGGGCAATGATCCTGAGGTCGCGGGGTGGGAGGAAGTTCTGGGTGGGATAATGGAAGCTAGTGATATGCTAGAAAGCAAGACCCTATTGTTGTTAGCAAGATTTAAGCGGCTTGGTGACATAAATGATCTGGAATTGGCTGCAACCACGAACGAGGAAATCATGAGACTGAGACGCAGCGGCCCGAAACATACAAATGCGCTTGCAAGTTTGGGAAGTATATTCTTCCACAGGTTTGAGCGGACAGGAGACCTTGGGAACCTCCAAAAAGCCATTGAGCACGCCGAGGAGGCATTAGCTGCTACCCCTCAAAATCACCCACTCCGAGCGGCCACGCACAATAACCTGGGATGCTTTTTCTCTTCGAGGTTTGAGCGGATAGGAGACCTAGGAGACCTCAAAAAAGCCATTGAGCATGCTGAGGAGGTACTAGCTGCTACCCCCCGAGGTCACCCACTCGCAGTGACTATACACAACAACCTGGGATCGTTTCTGTCTACGAGGTTTAAGCGGATAGGAGACCTAGGAGACCTCCAAAAAGCCATTAATCACGGCCAGGAAGCATTAACTTC